TGGGAAGAGATTATATGTTCCTTAATGGAACCCTGTTGCTTATGCATCGTTAAACGCCTAGAAAGAGATGTTGTTGTCTTGCCTATATACTGGGTTTTTTGGAGCTTACAGTCCCCAAGAGGGCATTTGAAGGCATAGACGACGTTGGTCTCTTTTAAAGCGTTCTGCTTTGTGTCTGGAGAGTTTCTCATGAGTAGGCTGGCCGTTTTTCTGGTTTTATAGTAAATCGTCAGTTGTATCCTCTGATTTTTGTCTGTAGGGATAACGTTTCTATTAACAATATCTTTCAGGACCCTTTCCTCCGTTTTATGAGCTGTGGAAAAGAAGTTCCTGCAAAATAGTCTAATAGGGGGTATAGGTGTTGTGTTAGTTGTCTCTTCAGAGGTTGCATGGCGTTTCACTTTCCTTCTTATGATGTCTTCGACGAAACCATTGGAGAAGCCGTTGTTGACTAGGACCTGCCTTACCCTACAGAGTTCTCCGTCGACTTGCTTCCATTCTGAGCTGTGGCTGAGAGCACGGTCGACATATGCGTTAACAACACTCCTCTTGTACCTGTCTGGGCAGTCGCTGTTGGCATTTAGGCACATTCCTATGTTCGTTTCCTTAGTGTAGACTGCAGTGTGGAAACCTCCGCTCTTTTCCATGACTGTTACATCTAGAAAGGGCAGCTTCCCATCCTTTTCCATCTCGTAAGTGAAACGCAGCACGGAACTCTGCTCAAATGCCTCCTTCAGCTCCTGCAGATGTCTGACATCAGGTACCTGTGTAAAAATGTCGTCAACATACCTGCAGTATATGGCCGGTTTCAAGTTCATTTCCACTAAGACTTTTTGCTCGATGGTACCCATGTAGAAGTTTGCAAACAGGACACCTAGGTGAGAACCCATGGCGACCCCATCTACTTGCTTATACATGTGCCCATCCGGGCTCAAGAAGGGTGCCTCTTTAGTACAAGCTTGGAGTAGTTTCATTAGAATGTTTTCTGGTATGTCAAGAGGAGAGCAGGCCGGATCACGATACACTCTGTCGGCTATCATCCCGATTGTCTCGTCCACAGTATATATATATATATATATATATATATATATATATATATATATATATATATATATATATATATATATATATATATATATATATATATATATATATATATATACACGTGTTCCTCACGTGTGCCCCAAAGAATGAGGTGATTTGGTAAAATGCTATGCCCAAGATTACTATCCGAGTGCCGGCGGTGGGGTGGTTCAAATAGCTTAGGCTATCACCTCATTTTGTCCGGTCGTGATGGTCAAGTGGATTAAGGCGTTTTGTACATACCAGTTGCGTTGCTTCTGGGAGTATGGGTTCGAGTCACTTCTGGGGTGTGAGTTTTCAGTTGCATATTGTCCTGGGGACCATTCAGGCTTGTTCGCATTTGTGTTCCTCACGTGTGCCCCAAAGAATGAGGTGATTTGGTAAAATGCTATGCCCAAGATTACTATCCGAGTGCCGGCGGTGGGGTGGTTCAAATAGCTTAGGCTATCACCTCATTTTGTCCGGTTGTGATGGTCAAGTGGATTAAGGCGTCTTGTACATACCAGTTGCGTTGCTTCTGGGAGTATGGGTTCGAGTCACTTCTGGGGTGTGAGTTTTCAGTTGCATATTGTCCTGGGGACCATTCAGGCTTGTTCGCATTTGTGTTCCTCACGTGTGCCCCAAAGAATAAGGTGATTTGGTAAAATGCTATGCTCAAGATTACTATCCGAGTGCCGGCGGTGGGGTGGTTCAAATAGCTTAGGCTATCACCTCATTTTGTCCGGTCGTGATGGTCAAGTGGATTAAGGCGTCTTGTACATACCAGTTGCGTTGCTTCTGGGAGTATGGGTTCGAGTCACTTCTGGGGTGTGAGTTTTCAGTTGCATATTGTCCTGGGGACCATTCAGGCTTGTTCGCATTTGTGTTCCTCACGTGTGCCCAAAGAATGAGGTGATTTGGTAAAATGCTATGCCCAAGATTACTATCCGAGTGCCGGCGGTGGGGTGGTTCAAATAGCTTAGGCTATCACCTCATTTTGTCCGGTCGTGATGGTCAAGTGGATTAAGGCATCTTGTACATACCAGTTGCGTTGCTTCTGGGAGTATGGGTTCGAGTCACTTCTGGGGTGTGAGTTTTCAGTTGCATATTGTCCTGGGGACCATTCAGGCTTGTTCGCATATATATATATATATATATATATATATATATATATATATATATATATATATATATATATATATATATATAAATTGAAATGTTCGTTTGTTCATAATCGCTAATCTCCGAAAGTTCTTCACCGATTACTTTGAAATGTTCACAACGTTTCATTCGCATCCGAGCAGACTTTTATGTACATATTATACAGATGTCATGTCTGTGATGGTAACAAACATGCTTTTTCTGAAAAAACAGTTTTTTCAGTTGGTTTTCATGCGAGGGAAATCTTCGAAACCTCTTTACCGATTGCTTTAAAATTTTGACACAACGTTGCATTCGAATAGGCGCGTCCTTTTATATATCTGCTATATAAATGCCTCACCTGTGACAGGAAAAAACATACTTTTTTTGAAAAACAGCACCATCTGTTGGACGTAAGAGCAACACACGCTGTAATCTCCGAAAGTTCTTCTCCAATTGCTTTGAAATTTTGTCACAACGTTGCATTCAAATAGGCGCGTCTTTTTATATGCCTATTACATAGATGCCACTCCTCTGACAGGTAAAAACATGCGTTTTTGAAAAACAGCGCCATCTGTTGCACATAATGGCAACATGCACGCAATAATAAATATGTCACGAATTCTATGTCATTGTTTCCGATTGCATTGATAAATTTTATTTTCATAGATTTCGATTTATTTTACTTTTTAGTGAATTATCTTGTGTGATGTTGTGTTGGAATTGAGCGGTGTTGTTTACCATACTGTTCATTTCGAAAGTATAGATGCCACATAGATGCCACACCTGTGACAGGTAAAACTATGATTTTTTCTTGAAAAACAGCGCCATCTGTTGGACGTAGGAGCAACACACGCGGTAATCTCTGAAAGTTCTTCACCGATTTCTTTGAAATTTTGACACAACGTTGCATTCATATAGGCGCATCTTTTTATTACCTACTACATAGATGCCACCTCTGTGACAGGTAAAAACATGCATTTTTGAAAAACAGCGCCATCTGTTGAACATAATGGCAACATGCATGCTATACTAAATATGTCACGAATTCTATTTCAATGTTTCCAAATTGCATTGATAAATTTTATATTCAAAGATTTAGATTTATTATATTTTTTAGTGAATTATTTTTTGTGATATTGTGTTAGAATTGAGCAGTGTTGTTTACCATACCGCTCATTTCGAAAGTATATGTATAGATGCCACACCTGTGATAGGAAAAACTTAGTTTTTTCTTGAAAAACAGCACAATCTACTGGATGTAAGAGCAACACACCCTGTAATCTTCGAAAGTCCTTCTCCAATTGCTTTGAAATTTTGACACAAAGTACCATTCGAATAACCGCATGTTTTAATATACCTACTACATAGATGCCACACCTGTGACAGGTAAAAACATGCTTTTTTGAAAAACAGCTTCATCTGTTGGACGTAATATCAACACACACACTATACTAAATATGTTACGATTACATTTCAACGTTTCTGATTGCATTGATAAATGGAATTTTCATAGATTACAATTTATTTTCAATTTGATTTAATTATATTGTTTGACATTGCATTGGAATTGAACTGTGTTGTTTACCATATTGTTCATTTTGAAAGTATATGTATAGATGCCACACCTGTGACAGGTAAAAACATTATTTTTTAAGTAACTGTTTTTCTTATATAGCAGTGATAGGAACATCAGATCATTTGATGTTCCCAATTCTCTGATGGGTACATCAGATCATTTGTGAATGCATCAGACGAGGGAGTGGGGAATGGTTAGGAGCACGAGGGGACAGGAGTGGGGAATTGTGAGGAGGACGACGAGACAGGGGAGGGTGTAATTGTGGGGAGGACGACGAGACAGGGGAGGGTGTAATTGTGGGGAGGATGAGGGGACGGAGGAGTGGGAGATGGTAGGGAGGATGAGGGGACTGTGGTGTGGGGGAAGGGTTAGGAGAATGTGGGGGAGGGGGAGGGGGGGGGGAATGGTGGGCAGGACTGGGCAATCGGGGAGGGTTGGTGTGTCTCAGCAACGCGTGGCCGGGTACAGCTAGTATATATATTATATATATATCTATATATATATATATATATATATATATATATATATATATATATATATATATATATATATATATATATATATATATATATATATATATATATATATATATATATATATATATATATATATATATATATATATATATTGTATTGGAAACATTGCTGATCAGACCTTTATATCCGCATGGTGGAACAAGGTGGTTCCATGGGTTAAGAACCCTGTGGGTGAAAAAGCATCACCTGTTCTCAGTCCTACATTATGCTTGTTGAGCTTGAAACCGTTGTTCCTTGTTTGTTACATCTGACCTTTTGAAGAAATTATCAGGATCAACATTTTCCAAATTGTTCAATATTATAAAAGTTTCAATGAGGTCAGCCTCGTCGTGCCTGGTTTGCGTTGCTGTTAGCCCTGTGGCCCTCAACCGCTCCTGATATATCCCTGAATACGTGGGTAAAGTATGAGAATATCTTCTCATGTTCATTATGTAGGAGAATATTCCTGAGTGAATGAAATAATTACAACACAGTGGACACCGTTAGTTGAAAGCGACCGATGTTACACAATAAACAGTGTGTAACGTCGGTCGCTTTCAACCAACGGTGCTCACTGGGAAAAAGCTCCACTATCTTATGGTGTTTAGTCTAAAATCCTTGATAACGAGTATTCATTAACATCTTGTAGAGTGACGCTGGTCCTAGCTCCTGCTCACAGAGTTTCTGGGAATGAAAGTGAGGCAAATTGGTATAAATTTATTCAGTAATATAACATCAATAATAGCGTAAAAGTTAGTTATAAAAATGTAAATTGTTCTACAAACAAAATCACGTGAAATAGAACACTGACATATAGGCTGCTCGAAACTGAATTACATTCAACTATAATAACCCTCAACTGAATCTCTCATGTACTGTCTATCACAACCATCACTTTAACGATACCAACTGTAAGTACTACAGAGCAAAACTTGCCAACAATGTATTATCAAATAACCATAATGTGTCTCTAATTAACATCAATGCAAGGCCTCTTTAGCGAACACCATGATGATGTTGGTACCTTATTGCAATCACTAAACTACCAATTCTCCCTTGTTGTTCTTATTGAGACCTGGTTAAATGATGACATTACCCAACTATATAATATTCCCAATTATTCTGCTATCCACAACTGTAGACCTAACCAGAGAGGTGGGTGGTACACTAATTTAACAATTTAGTGCATTCAATTTAATTTATTACCATATGGAACTATCACGTACAAAAATGATCAAATCTAGTATATATATAGTATATATACATGGAGAGTATATATTTTCCCAGTTCAAATTGAAGGGCCTGAACACCAACTTAACTTTGGGAGCAGTCTACAGAATTCCTAATACTGTTGTAGCCGAATAAAATTCGAAGCCTAGAACCTTAATAATATAAAACAAGCTTAACAAAAATCAACTAATATTAACTGGAGATTTCAACATTGATCTATGCCAGCCTGATAACCCACTTGTTGCCAGCCTCCTCAACTGTATGAACTCCTGTATGTTTTTGCCTTTGATTACTAAACCCTCGAGAATTACTGAAACTGCCTCCACCCTTGACCACATTTGGACTACCTTAACCTCTCCACTAAGCTCAGGAATAATCGCCGATGATACAACAGACCACTACCCAACATTTCTCCTAACCGACATTTTTTAACCTTCTCCTCAAACAAAGAAAACAAGCTTTAGACTGCTTACTGAAGCTTCCATAAGTAATTTTACAACTGCTGCTGCAACATAAACTGGGAAACGGAATTTGGAAATATGACTAATGTTAATCTAAGAGCGCAGACATTTCTTCGCACAACTCGAAGCCTCTATAACTGTCGTTTACTTAGTAAGCAAGTCTCAACTAAAAGGGCCATCAACTCTTGACTCAATAAGGTTTTACTTACTTAAATAAATAAAAAAAAATAATATGAGAAGAAATGCAGGCTTGATATCATTCCCAGGGAATTGACTAAGCAATACTCCTCACTGCTTTCTAAGATATTAAAAAAAGTCAAGGCAACCCACTATGAAAATAATTTTAAACTTATAAAAGGTAACAAGAAGAAAATATGGGACACTATTTCCCAGATATTAGGGTCAAAGAAGAACTTGGATAAAAAAAATTATATATATTCCTAGCTGGAAATAGTAGAATGTTATCAGGCGCTGAGACAGCTACTAAATTCAATAGTTTCTTTTCTTCCATTGGCACCTCCTTGGCAAATGAGATCCCAGCATCCCTAGTAATGTGAGCGGAAACCTCTCTGACAGCTATTGTGAGCCTCTGTACATGTTCCCAGCTAACTCCTTATATTTTTTTATATTACCCTGTCACTTAAAACTAAATCCTGTAACCCTTCCGAGATACCAACCGTAATCTATAAAAAGTCCTCCAGGTTTCTAGCTCCTGCAATAGCGTTGCTCTACAATAAATCTCTGGAGCTCCAAGCCTTCCCTGATGCTCTTAAAAAAACTTGCTTAAGTCATTTCAGTCCATAAGAGTGAAGATCTCCCCGAAATCAACAATTTCAGACCAATATCAGGCCTTCCCACCTTGTCCAAAATCTTTGAGTAGCTCCTGTACAAACAGCTCTATTCGTTTCTCGATAAACACAATATACTCAGTTCAAGCCAATATGGCTTCATGCCCCATAAAAGCACCAGTGATGCTCTTATAAATATGCTTAACCTATTACATGCAGCTCTTGAGAAAAATGTGTACCACATTTCTCTGTTTGTTTACCTAGGTAATGCGTTTGACACTTAACCACAATAACCTTCTCTCAAACTCCAACACTATGGAGTCAGAAGCCACTCTCTACAGTACTTGCAATCTTACCTCAGTGACAGGCAACAGTATGTTTCAGTGAACGAGTCTACTTCTCCTGTTTTACCAATATACATTGGCGTTCTGCAGGGTAGTATACTTGGTTCACTCTTCTTTCAGCGAGAGGAGAAAGAGATATCCGAAATTCGAATAATTTCGAACCCTCGACCAGGGTACTCCCAAGCCGTGCACCTTACCTCTGGACAACAACATTGTAAAAGTTATTCAAGATGGGATTCAATCGAATCTACAATACGTCTTGCTCCAATTTTTTTCATTGATATATCACGCTAGTGTGACCTGCTTGTGTAAATAATAATAATATAATATTAATGATAATAAATAAAGCCATTAATACGCAAAGCATTTCAGGCAAAACTTAAAATAATTCAGTTAATTTTGTTGTTATAGATAAAATGGAATGAAGACAATACTAAACAAGAAGTAAACTAACAAATGTGAAATGTTCAAGAAATGTATCTAATGATAAGCAATATAAAGGTGATAGAGTACAGGACAGTCAAGCTTTAGGTAGCCAAGGGTGAGGCTGTGAGGTAGTCAGTTGTTGGATGGTCGAACATATTATCAATAATGAGGTACTGAAGTGTGAGGAACAGGATGAGGCGCTTCACGCTTGATTGTGGTGATACCGTTGACGATGAGGAGTGAGGTGCTCTCTAGGAACTGTCTATCTGATGTCTTCTGCATCTCCGGCTCTTCTTCCCATTTATCCACTGTCTCATTCTCCTCTTTCACACTCACTTCTTCTGCTTCCTTAATCATGGGATAACTTCTCTGCATCACACAAGCACGTTTGATCACTTCTATGTCACATTTTTCCCTCACCTTGAGTTCCCTGGTTAAATAACAGTCGTTGCCAAGATCTTGATATCTTCCCCATATACCATTAATGTGTTTACTTTCTAAGTTATAATCCTCTGTCTCCACTTTTAGACCCACTTCTTCTGCCTCCCTAATCATGGGATAACATCTGTGCATCACACAAGCATGTTTGATCACTCCTATGTCACATTTATCCCTCACCTGCAGTTCCCTGGTTAAAATATAGTTGTTGCCAAGAACTCGACATGTTCCCCATATACCATTCATGTGATTACTGTCTAAATTATAATATGCTTCTGTATTTCCGAGATATTTTCTACCCTCATACTTATTTAGCTTATCATTCGTGTTTATCTTATCAAAATTAGTTTCACCAGTAAAACACGAATCCTGAGATAAGACGTTTACAGCTGTTTTATGATGATCTGCAGCTGGTTTGTGATGGTCTACAGCTGTTCTGTGATGGTCTACATCTGTTTCGTGATGGTCTACAGCTGTTTTGCGATAGTCTATAGCTGTTTTGTGATAATCTACAGCTATTTCGCGATGGTCTACAACTGTTTCGTGATGGTCTATAGCTGTTTTGCGATAGTCTATAGCTGTTTTGTGATGGTCTACAGCTGTTTCGTGATGGTCTACAACCGTTTTGCGATGGTCTATAGCTGTTTTGTGATAGACTACATTGTCTCGTTGATGGTGCACAGCTGTGCTGTTGTGAACAGCTGGTGTATGGTCAGTAGGGACGCTTGTGACTTGCCGTTGGTCGATATTAATGTAAGCACCACTGCTGTCTCTTGACGTACTAACTGTATCAGAGTTGTAAACCTTCACTACCCAGGCTGGATTGATACGTTTTTTGCTATGAGTCATTCTATGGAGTAAGTTGTCATAACCTTTCCTTCCAGGTTCAGCATGATCAAGCAGATGCGTTAGAAGTCCTTCGTATGTTTTACAGTCCTCACGACAGAAGTCACATAAGAAACGTACATGTGTTTTCGTGCAATCCATGATCCTTCTATGTTTTCGAGCGGTGCTGTCATTATTAAACTGGGTTCCACATAGCTTACAAAAGAATGGTTTAAAAACATAGTTTCTCTTGCATCCAGTTTGTGAAGTTTGGTGACGGAGAACATGTCTTTTAGAGTTGAGCATCCTTCCACATTGTTCACACTGAACTCTGCCAATATTAGTATGAGTCATCGTGTGCAAGATAAGAGAACTTCTTACTGCAAATCTTTTCATGCATATGTCACACTTGTGAGGTTTTTCATTTGAATGTACGGATTTTAGATGACTTGCCACCGAAATTTTGCTTTTAAACTTTCTTCCACATTCTCCGCATTCAAATGGTCTTTCATTTGAATGTTTAACCATATGGTTTTTAAGTTTAAGGTTGGAGGTAAATTGTTTTTTACATATTTTACACTCAATCTTACTTTTTCTTTGACACAACAATATGTGCCCACGATAATTTATTCTCGTAACAAATTTTTCTGGGCAAGTGGTACATTGATATTGTTTTTCTCCTGTATGACGCCGCATGTGGTCAGCTCGAGTTGCACTCTGAGTGAACCTTGCACCACAAATATTGCACTCATAAGGTTTCTCACCTGTGTGACCTCTCATGTGCATAATGAGTACTGATCGTGTTGTGAAGGCCTTTGAGCAATTGTCACACTTGTATGGTCTCTCACCTGTGTGTTTTCTTCTGTGAATATCGAGGCCAGATTTTGTTACGAATTTCTTGTCACAGTCTTGGCACTCATGTGGTTTGTTTGCTTCATGTCTCTTCATGTGTCTTTCAAAGCTTAATGTTGTGGCGAATGTCAACTGGCAGATGTTACAGCGATGGGTTTTGGTTTTGGTGAGAGCACCACCAGCCTGTTGGTGCTCGCCGGCCTGTTGGTGCTCGCCGGCCTGTTGGTGCTCGCCGGCCTGTTGTATGTCTCCATTCTCCTGATGTTTCTCAGTGTGTTGCTCATCCTCGTTACACTGTTTCTCATCAGCCGATTGTCGGTTCTCAGCTGTTCGTTTGAGGAGCTTACTGGACAGTTTGCGGCTCCGTCCCATGACTGTCGTCCCTCTGGAACCAAACGAAAGATTGAATTATACACAAATGATTATCATAAGGCATTCGAGTGTTTAAAATCTGTGTGTACACATTTTTATCCAACATCTATAATTTGATTTAAGTTCTGTTAAGAGGATAATGAACGTTTACAGACTGTAAAATCCTAACATTCTAGACGAACAATCAGGGATCCCGTGTTCGATCCTTGGGCTGGACAGAGATGATTGGGTATGTTTTAATTCACCTAATGTAACTGTTCATCTAGAAGTATAAAGGCAACGAGTTAGTTAGGTGAGTTAAATTGAATTAGGCAACTGTTGTGTGTTGTTAGGCTCATTCACTTTTGTCCTTCACAAGTTCTTCCTTCTTCACCGTCTGGTATTCTCGTGAAAATTTGGGTCATTCAGCTCTTCAAACCTTCACAATAATTGAATGTTATTTTAAAACTGGACCCGAGTAGTTACCACGATACCAGTGTATAGTGTTTATATAATAATAATAATAATAATAATAATAATAATAATAATTTTTATTTAGGCAAAGGTACATACATAAAGAGATTTTACAAAGTTTGTTGGCTTTATAGATAGAGCTAGTACATACAATGCCTAAAGCCACTATTACGCAAAGCGTTTCGGGCAGGAAAAAACACTAGTGACTAAAGCTTAAAACTAATGGGTAAAAAGAAAAAAATGCGTTGAGTACAAATAAAAATAGGGGTAAAAGAGGGGGGAACATTGTTGAAAAAACAGAACAAATACAATTACAAATTATTACAGAAAATTACATTAAAACAGCGTTGATTTGAAAAACAAAAAAAACAAAAAACATACATGGGTTGACAATAGAGGGGTAAGGTAGGTTACAGGGAATTTATTAGGTATAGCTTCGTTTTTAACTTAAACTGGTTGAGAGAGGTACTGTCTTTAACATGGTTGGGAAGGTCATTCCACATTCTGGGCCCCTTGATTTGTAGAGCATTTCTGGTTTGATTAAGTCGTACTCTAGGAATATCAAAACTGTATTTATTTCTGGTGTGGTGCTCATGGGTTCTGTTACAACCTTCTATGAAGCTTTTGAGATCAGGATTGGCATTACAGTTTAGCGTTTTATATATGTATAATACACATGAGAGAATGTGCAGTGACTTAATGTCTAACATATTCAGGGATTTGAGTAGGGGTACCGAGTGATGTCTGGGGCCAGAATTGGATATTGTCCTAATAGCAGCTTTGTGTTGAGTAATTAGAGGACGTAAGTGATTTTGGGTAGTAGAGCCCCAAGCACAAATACCATAGTTGAGATATGGATAGATAAGGGAGTAATAGAGAGTCACCAGGGCAGGGCGTGGTACATAATATCTGATCTTAGAAAGAATGCCCACAGTTTTTGAAACTTTTTTTGATATGTTTAGAATGTGTCCCTGGAAATTCAGCTTGTGGTCAATGAGAATGCCAAGGAATTTGCCATCTAATTTGTTACAAATTTGGGTATTGTTTATTTTGAGATTTATTTGATTAGAGGATTTATTGCCAAACAGAATATAGAAAGTTTTGTCAATGTTAAGGGTGAGTTTGTTGGCAGTTAGCCACAGATGGACTTTATTTAGCTCAGTATTTACTGTGGCATTTAGAACAAGGGGATCAGGACTGGAGTAAATGAAGGTTGTGTCGTCAGCAAATAGGATTGGTTTGAGGTGTTGGGAGGCATTTGGAAGGTCATTAATGTAGATGAGAAAGAGGAGAGGGCCAAGTATGCTGCCCTGGGGAACACCAATGTTGATGGGTAGGGTGGGAGAAATTGTATTATTCACAGAAACACATTGGAGCCTGTCAGAAAGGTAGGATTTGAGGTATTGTAGGGAGTGTCCTCTGACACCATAATGATGTAATTTAAGAAGAAGGTTTTGGTGGTTGACAGTATCGAAAGCTTTACGCAGGTCCACAAATAACCCAACAGGGAACTCATTTTTATCAAGAGCTGTATGAATCGAGTTAAGCATACTAATAAGTGCATCGTTAGTGCTTTTTTTGGGCCTGAAGCCATATTGGCAAGGGCTAAGTATATTGAGTTTGGCTAGATATGAGTAAAGCTGCTTATAGATTAGTTTTTCAAAAATTTTAGACAAGTTTGGCAGGATTGATATAGGTCTGTAGTTGTTAACATCTGTGAGATCACCACATTTGTGGACAGGCGTTACTCTCGCTTTTTTTAGAATATCTGGAAAGGTTTGGAGTTCAAGTGACTTGTTGAAGAGCAAAGCAATAGCAGGGGCTAAAGATCTGGAGGCTTTTTTGTAGATTAAAGTTGGTATCTCCTCAAGGGCACCAGACTTGGTTTTAAGGGAAAGGATTATCTCATTGACGTCAATGGAATTAATAGGCTTTAGGTACAGAGACTGGGGATAGTTCCCTGTAAGATAGTCCTTAATGTCAGTACTGGAAGATGGAATATCATTAGCAAGGGATGAACCAATGGAAGAGAAGAACCTATTGAACTCAATAGCAGAATCAGAGGCTGAAAGCTGACCATCGTTATTAGACAGGAGAGTCGGTTTGTTATTTAAAGACTTCTTTGATCCCAATATTTGTGAAATTGTTCTCTCTATATATATATAGATGTGTATTTAACCCAATCTACTACAGTGGTACAGTTGAGTATGTTGTCCTCCCATTAGTGTCACAGGTGTGTGTATGTTGTCCTCCCATTAGTGTCACAGGTGTGTATGTTATCCTCCCATTAGTGTCACAGCTGTGTATGTTGTCCTCCCATTAGTGTCACACCTGTGTATGTTGTCCTCCCATTAGTGACACAGCTGTGTATGTTGTCCTCCCATTAGTGTCACAGCTGTGTATGTTGTCCTCCCATTAGTGACACAGCTGTGTATGTTGTCCTCCCATTAGTGTCACAGCTGTGTATGTTGTCCTCCCATTAGTGTCACAGCTGTGTATGTTGTCCTCCCATTAGTGTCACAGCTGTGTATGTTGTCCTCCCATTAGTGTCACAGCTGTGTATGTTGTCCTCCCATTAGTGTCACAGCTGTGTATGTTGTCCTCCCATTAGTGTCACAGGTGTGTGTATGTTGTCCTCCCATTAGTGTCACAGCTGTGTATGTTGTCCTCCCATTAGTGACACAGCTGTGTATGTTGTCCTCCCATTAGTGTCACAGCTGTGTATGTTGTCCTCCCATTAGTGACACAGCTGTGTATGTTGTCCTCCCATTAGTGTCACAGCTGTGTATGTTGTCCTCCCATTAGTGACACAGCTGTGTATGTTGTCCTCCCATTAGTGTCACAGCTGTGTATGTTGTCCTCCCATTAGTGTCACAGCTGTGTATGTTGTCCTCCCATTAGTGTCACAGGTGTGTGTATGTTGTCCTCCCATTAGTGTCACAGCTGTGTATGTTGTCCTCCCATTAGTGTCACAGCTGTGTATGTTGTCCTCCCATTAGTGTCACAGCTGTGTATGTTGTCCTCCCATTAGTGTCACAGGTGTGTGTATGTTGTCCTCCCATTAGTGTCACAGCTGTGTATGTTGTCCTCCCATTAGTGTCACAGGTGTGTATGTTGTCCTCCCATTAGTGTCACAGGTGTGTATGTTGTCCTCCCATTAGTGTCACAGCTGTGTATGTTGTCCTCCCATTAGTGTCACAGCTGTGTATGTTGTCCTCCCATTAGTGTCACAGCTGTGTATGTTTTCCTCCCATTAGTGACACAGGTGTGTATGTTGTCCTCCCATTAGTGTCACAGCTGTGTATGTTTTCCTCCCATTAGTGACACAGGTGTGTATGTTGTCCTCCCATTAGTGACACAGGTGTGTATGTTGTCCTCCCATTAGTGACACAGGTGTGTATGTTGTCCTCCCATTAGTGTCACAGCTGTGTATGTTGTCCTCCCATTAGTGTCACAGCTGTGTATGTTGTCCTCCCATTAGTGACACAGGTGTGTATGTTGTCCTCCCATTAGTGACACAGGTGTGTATGTTGTCCTCCCATTAGTGTCACAGCTGTGTATGTTGTCCTCCCATTAGTGTCACAGCTGTGTATGTTGTCCTCCCATTAGTGTCACAGCTGTGTATGTTGTCCTCCAATTAGTGTCACAGCTGTGTATGTTGTCCTCCCATTAGTGTCACAGGTGTGTATGTTGTCCTCCCATTAGTGTCACAGGTGTGTATGTTGTCCTCCCATTAGTGTCACAGGTGTGTATGTTGTCCTCCCATTAGTGTCACAGGTGTGTATGTTGTCCTCCCATTAGTGTCACAGGTGTGTATGTTGTCCTCCCATTAGTGTCACAGGTGTGTATGTTGTCCTCCCATTAGTGTCACAGGTGTGTATGTTGTCCTCCCATTAGTGTCACAGCTGTGTATGTTGTCCTCCCATTAGTGTCACAGGTGTGTATGTTGTCCTCCCATTAGTGTCACAGGTGTGTATGTTGTCCTCCCATTAGTGTCACAGCTGTGTATGTTGTCCTCCCATTAGTGTCACAGGTGTGTATGTTGTCCTCCCATTAGTGTCACAGGTGTGTATGTTGTCCTCCCATTAGTGTCACAGCTGTGTATGTTGTCCTCCCATTAGTGTCACAGCTGTGTATGTTGTCCTCCCATTAGTGTCACAGGTGTGTATGTTGTCCTCCCATTAGTGTCACAGGTGTGTATGTTGTCCTCCCATTAGTGTCACAGCTGTGTATGTTGTCCTCCCATTAGTGTCACAGGTGTGTATGTTGTCCTCCCATTAGTGTCACAGGTGTGTATGTTGTCCTCCCATTAGTGTCACAGGTGTGTATGTTGTCCTCCCATTAGTGTCACAGCTGTGTATGTTGTCCTCCCATTAGTGTCACAGGTGTGTATGTTGTCCTCCCATTAGTGTCACAGGTGTGTATGTTGTCCTCCCATTAGTGTCACAGCTGTGTATGTTGTCCTCCCATTAGTGTCACAGGTGTGTATGTTGTCCTCCCATTAGTGTCACAGGTGTGTATGTTGTCCTCCCATTAGTGTCACAGGTGTGTATGTTGTCC